ACTTTAACAGTTGTTTTCATGTATCACCATGAAAACATGCTCATAAATTTCATATTATATGAAATTCAGTGTTCTTCTAGATTTCAGAGCTAAGCATCAGAAACAAGGGCACACACTCTATGTTTCAGACTCCAACAGTTCTTAAAAGTTTAGAAATAATGAAATAAAATTCTAATTTATTGTGCCTTGAAATAAAGAGAACCCAAATATGACTATGTTTATCTCTGCACATCTGAGGAATCCTTCTAGTGTGAAGACACAACCTAGACTTTTCTGGGGGAAAAAAACCAAGCTAACTAACCTTTGAAATTCTGCATAAGGAAAAGAAGGGAAATTGATTAAGTCCTTTTTCTTAAGGCTTTTGAGCAATTATGAGTTATTTTAAACCACAAAATATATCAGCACCAATAGTAGCAAGAGGGAACACTATTTATTTTCTATTCCATATTGACATGCTGTATAAATTTTCTGGGGAAAAAAAAAGGTTAAAAGCCTGTTAAAACCCTCTTTCGGCTGTGCTAATAAGCATGTAGTATTTGTAGCAGCTATCTGTACAGCTGGCTGGCTGCATTACCCACCTAACCTGTACTTGTAACACTGCGCTTGTAATATTCTGTGACTTTGTATCACACTATTAACACTGAACATTTTAGGGATCATATACAACTGAAAGGTGGCAGTGGCCTCCTCTGACCCACAGCAGTGCTGGATTATTCAAAGGGGTCCTGTTTCTGGCACTTCTCAGGAGAAAATACTTTTTTTTTTTTTTCAATTAGTCGTAAGTCTACACAGAAATAGAGTCACAGCCTGCTTTTGTTGGTCTGTACCTTCAGGAAAGTTTAGTAACTCACCTCCAAGATGAGACACTGCAGGTTTTGTCTGACTTCCAAGAAGAAATGGGAGGACTTAGAGAGGGAGAGGTCAGTGGAAAAGCCTATAGACTAGCTAGGTTTAGGAAGGAGAAGAATGTTTGGCTCAAATTTTCAGGGTAAAATACCCGGAAGAGCACTTACAGAAGCTGTATTTGGAGCTTATTTGTAATGTACAGCAGTGTCACCAACAATACATAATTCAACACTAATTGATTCCTTTTATGTGACTGGTTATGTTTGCCCCAAGAAAAACAATTGAAAAAATTAATTTTCTAGAATATGCAAAAGACATGGTACAAAAAATACTAATGATTTTTTTTTAATTTTCTATAATGTGACTAGGGAAGTGAGAAGCATAAGGCTTCTAGCCACCATTTTTTCTGATAACAAAACTCGTCTCACGCCTGTCTAGTTGCTTTCAAGTTACTTTGAGGAATATGAACATCTCAATATTAGTTAATATGCTATTTGTAAATACTTGAACATTCAAAGTCATTATTCCAAAGATATGTAGGCTAATATGTTAGCCTAATGTGATTCATAATAAGTAAAGGTAAGTATATTCATTTAAGTGAGTTAGAAAAGCATACTTCACTGGCAGTAATTGCTCAGTGACCAGTCTCAGAGAATGAAGTAAGATGTTTTTCATAGAACGGGAATGTTTTTTATTTGAAGGGACCTTTAACATCATCTAGTTTCAACTCCCTCCTGCATGGGCAGTGACAGCTTCCACTGGACCAGGCTGCTCAAATTGCCATCCAACCTGACCTTGAACACTTCCAGTGATGGAGCATACACAGCTTCTCTGGGCAGCCTGGGCCAATGCCTCAACACCCTCACAGTAAAGAAAAGAACAGAAAGTACATTTCTTCCTAATATCAAATCTAAACCTATCCTCTTTCAGATTAAAGCCTCTTGTCTTATCACTCCATGTCCTCGTAAAAAGTCTCTTTCCAGATTTCCTGTAGGAATCCTTTAGGCATTGGAAGGCTTCTGTTTATCTCAGTGCTTCCTGTCAAACACCTCATTCTATAAGAATACCTAAATGAAATTTAATACTTTTTAAATTCTTCCAGGCTAGTATTTTTAAAGACTCTTTGCAGCTTATTAGAATTTGGCTTGTGTAGTCCTATTGGTGTCTGTCCTTTTTTTTTCTTCAGTATCAAAGCTGTGTTAGCTCACTTAGGCTCTCTAAAAACCTTCTAATTTGCAGCAGCAGTGAAACTGTTGCAATATGAATTTAGCCTTGAGAGACAAAAGTTTTCAGAAAAAGAATCTGATTATTCAGCAGATTTGGTACTAAGATGTAAATAACTACCACTGCGTTCAAGTGAATAGTTCATCAAAATACATTTTTAATGCCAGAATTTTATTCTTACTTGGTATCATTTGGATTGATATCACTGAGCTATTTGCTCAATATTCTGTGAAATGAAATAAATATACATGAACATTACAAAAACTTTTAGTCTACCGACATATAAAAATATTATGAAAAATGAGAAAAAAGTCTTGGTAAATGATGCATTCAGAAAACCTTCACTAATATATTTGAAATCTGTTCTTTGGAAGAATAACTTTTCACCATAAACCACAAATGTTTTCCCATATATGAACAGTATTATTACAACATAGTAATTCTTTGTCACAGAAGGTATCTATTAAAGAACTTAAGTACTTTTCCTCCAACTTGATTTTTGATATGGAAGCAGTTTCATTGTGTTCAGTGTGTTATATAGCACCAGACATTACCCTCCAAGGAAGAAAATGGTAGTCACTTCTAACCACCATTTCCTGCTTTCCATAAACTTCCCAGATTTTCAGATGCCTATCTAATACATCTGTTGAAGGAAACCAGACACCCTCTAATTCATAACTAGTAGTTATGATTTTCCACTGATTTACACTGTAACACTGATGGTGCTGAAGGATGATGTTTCCTAGTTGTATGGGCCTCACCATCTTCCATCTGATTTTAATTCTTCAGCAATGCACACTATCAGAGATACCATCCTAGCCTCACATTTGTGATGTGTAATATCCTTCTTAGTGGCAACTGAAATGATACAGTTAAACATATTATATCTATATTATACATTATACAGTTTTTCAAATCTTGTTTCTCTTTAATTGAGAATGTATTAATTTGTATAGCTGTACTGTAAAATAATAAGTAACAATAAAAAAATGTTAATAATGTGAGAAATTCCTTGGTTTAATTCTACGATAAGTGTCTCTGCATCACATAGAGTCAATGTTCAGTCTTTCAAACATTGTCTGTGGCCATGTTTATTGTGAGTGATATTGTATCCCGTATTTAGGAAAAAACCAAAAAGTTACTGAACTCTAGCAACTTCTTGTATCTTAGTAATTTTTTTCTCCAGTAAACCAGTGAGAAGTCCACTTAAATTCTGCAAACTGCTAAAATGGAAGGATTATTTCTGTAGTGGATTCTCTGTTGCCAGACTAAAGGACACCAATGGTGTATTATGTATATTATGACAGAGACTGCTATTAACTGTAAGAAATGTGATGCAGTGGAAATTATGGACTGTAATTCACAAGACTTTGTCACACCTGAACAAACAGCTGACTTCTGCTTTGAAGCAAGTTTGGTTTTGACTTATGAAACTGTGACTATGGTGATAGATCTGAAGATAAATGCCTAATCCTGTTTTAAAATGCAACTAAGTAGTTCTTTACGTGAGTTGGGAACTGAAAATTCCAGGCTTTTAATATTTAATTTGGCAGTACAACCAATGCCTAATGCTAGTAAATATCACATTAGCTGTCTGCTGAGGACTATAGGCTTGCCTAAACTCATCACCTCATCTATGACATGTGCTGGAAGGACTGTTATTACCCCAACAGAGACCAAGTTAACCACTTTTATAGGATTTACACCAAACAGCATTTATGTAGTGTAGCTATCCATTAAACTATGCTAGAATCAGCAGAGTGCAGGGGATCTTGAAAAGTGTGTCAAGAAAAAAATGTCTGGCTGGGGTTCAACTCCAGAAACCAGGAAGCAGGAGATGGTGTTGAGGGAAAATGTACTTACAAATATTGGGTTAAAATAATAATGTGTTGCTCTTTATCCAAGAAATGAGAATTTTATCCAATTATTTTGCATGTACAAAATGTATATTTACTTAATCAGAATTTCAGAGAAATTCAGAGAAAGAGAGAAAAGAGAACTGACTAGTCCAGTGTGCTCTATGGCTCCCTTTTCAAACAGGGAAAACAATGACTAGGCTGTTTTTTTTGCAAGTACAACAGCAAAAGAATCCTTATTCCTTTTGGTTGCATGTACTGTGTCATTAATGATTAGGCTGAGAATCACAGGAATCTGGGACCTCCTGTTTCCCTGAAAAGGAAAATTCTTGCAGAGAATGTATTTCCTTCAAGCAATCAGGCTGGGTTTATACCCTCCTAGGGAAGGAGACAGAAAATAATTATCTTTATTTACAGACATTTAAAAGCATCTTCTGAACCCCTGAACTGCATCCATGACATATATAGAGCCAGAAGTCCTTCCACTCAGGGTGCAGGCTACTTGCCTGATCCTGACTTCAAACATAAGTCTCCCAAAATGCTTTCCCACTATGCAGTTGCATAGCTAGCCATTCTTGTGAATTTCCCTTTTATATTTTCAGGAAAAGATATGGAGGAAAAAAAATCTGGAGTTGCCTCCTTGTATACTAGTAGGTAGTATATTTTCATAAAGTATGCAAGAATGTTTGGGTGTTTTCTAATTTTTCTTTTTAGGCCATATTAGCTTAATGTTGGCATCTCAATGTTTCAAACTACAAAATAATGTTCAGATTGTACTCACAAGTCAAATAAACAAAATAATTAAAAGAATTTGAATGCCTTGAATTTTCCAGAAGGATATTATGGCATAATATTAAATATTTTATAGTATGGAATTAATTTTGCTATTGACATTGAATTTTTATAAACTTGCATTTACATCAATGGTGCACATTTGACCATATTTTTTTTCCCCTCAGGAAAAGAAAATATGACCCAACCTATATATATTACATGTAAAATTTATATTCTTTCCCCACTCACATGAAAAAATGCATTACAGATTGCATCAGCTTTTTTTCTTGATTCCCACAGGCACAACAGCTAACAGATCTGGAGCAAAAACTATCAGTTGCAAAAGACAAATTGGAAAATGCAGCCCTTGACAAAGTAAGAAGTGTAATGTAATGTAAGCATGTTTACCTCTATCAGCTGTGGTTGTTTTGGTGTAATTTGACAAAAACAAATGAAAGCCTTGCAGTTATTTAGATACATACTAAGTTGCGTCTGAATTGTACCTGGGAGTGATGCTACTGAAATCAGTGGAGCTAATTATGATACATGAAGTTAAGCACATCTGCAAAGTTATTTAAGAAGAGGATGGTCAAATTAGAAAATAAAACAGATGAAAAAATTTACACTGATTTTTAGTAGATTTAGATATTTATTTAATCATAATTTGTGCTGACAATAGACTTAGTGTCTCTCATAAGTTCACTTACACTAGAGCACTTTTCTATTTCCCATCATGGACCTTTAGAATGCTTACAAATTTGGCATTACCAGGCCCCAAATATCAAGAATAGTGTGGCCAATAGGACTAGGAAAGTGGTTATCCGCCTGTAAGGCCACATCTCACAGTGTTCAGTTTTAGGCCATTCACTTAAAAAATGACATTTTAGTGCTGGAGTGAGTTCAGAGAAGGGCAACAAAGCAGGTGAAGGGACTAGAAAGCATGTCTTCTGAGGAGCATCTGAGGGAACTGGTGTTGTTTAGTCTAAAGAAGAGAAGGCTCATAATCTTTGCTCTCTACAGCTGTCTGAAAGGAAGCTGTCATTAGGCAGGGATTGGTTTCTTCTGCCATGTCTCAAATGAAAGGATGAGAAGAAATAACCTTAAGTTCTTCCAGGGGAGGTTCAGATTAGAAATTAGAAATTTTATTTTCGCTGCAGAAGTGGTTAGGCATTGGAATAAGCTGCCAACTATTAACAAAGTCAATTTTGAATTATGCTATCCATAGGATGAAAACAAATTTACTTGTTCTTCTTTTACATTTGTAATGGCAAAATTGGAATGGCTTCAGCCAAGGCAGAATGAGCACTGGATGGCAGGATTGAGAGCTGAGAGGATGAAAAATTATCCAGAGAAATTTCTGGATGAGAGGAAAGTGATTTCAGATTGGTGTGATCTGTAGGAAGCACTAGGGTCATATAGGACTGGATTGACTAAGTCCATATCATCATGCAAAATTAGACAGTCTGCTACCTCTGCCCATTTAACCATAACAAATGGTGATTTATGCTGTCTGTACAGTCACTAACTTGAAAAGCTAGTATTAAAGACATGTTACATGAAAAGAAGTATGCTAGTATCTTCTTTTGTCAAATAGAAAATAAAGGGTCCCTGGATCAAAGGGATGAAGTAATCCTTTCCCTTTTACTCTGTCATTAGCTTAGAGATATATCATCTGGCTGCACACATCTTAAGCAAAAGACATTCAATTTTCACTGTTTGCAAGCAAATTCCATTCTGCGGGAGACTAAAATATTAATGGTTAATGACTCAAAACAATAGGCCCTTTGGGCCATTAGCAGGGTGTTTTCCTGGGACGGGGTTTACATCCGCAGACTGAGGTAAAGAGGAGAGTTTCTGGGTGTGTGATGGCAAAACCTCTGATCCACAGAAGACAGAAGGGGGGGTGAGCACCCATCAACAGAGACTACTGGGCTTTAGGCCAGATAAGGGAAGGGCCTGACAAGAAGCAAACCCTATTTGGAAGTAGGATAGTGATTTTTATTGTGCCAATGTCCTCCCTTACATAATTGGCTCAGCTGTAAAACTCTTCTCCCTGTGAAAAGTATGGGGACACTCACATTCACATGGGACGTTTACATATAGGCTTGAGGGTATTCTCCCCTTCTGATGGGGCATAACTGGCTCAACTACACTGATGTGAGAGGAAGTCATCATGTCTTAGAAGGTGTAATAAACTGTCAAAGATGCCCAAAGTGTCCTCAGATTCTTTTCTGGAACCTTCCATCAGAGGACTGTGCATTATCCACAATGTCACACCAGACAGTGCAAACTGCTCCCTCAAGAGAGGTACCCTGGGTGCTCCCACATAAGCCTAAACATTTAACTCTATGTTTTGTGGGCTTTCCCTCATCTCCGAGGAAACAAGACTGTGAATAACACTTTTACCAAAGGACATTTAAATTGCAACAATCAAATCTTATAACTGAATCCATAGGTGATGATACCTTTCCTTTCCTTTCCTTTCCTTTCCTTTCCTTTCCTTTCCTTTCCTTTCCTTTCCTTTCCTTTCCTTTCCTTTCCTTTCCTTTCCTTTCCTTTCCTTTCCTTTCCTTTCCTGCCCTGCCCTGCCCTTGCCCCTGCCCTTGCCCCTGCCCTTGCCCCTGCCCTTGCCCCTGCCCTTGCCAGATTTTCTTAAGTGTTATTTGTATGGTTTTATATTGATATGTTACTGTAGGTAATAACCAAAACAGTTACATATTTGCTTTCCATTGCAACCAAATTGGTCTAAAATAAAACATATACATATATGAAACACAAATAATTATCTGTTTTTTCACTCTAGTCTGCCCCAAGGGTCGTGGTAACAAGAACTTGAGTTACCCTTGCCTTGAGGGCCAGGTCATAACATATTCCATCTCCTATTTCTTTAATTTTCCCTATTGTACTCTGCATTATAGTCTTTGTATGGCTAATTTTTATCCTACTGCTGAAATACACTCTACTAACTCGCTTTGTTTTTTTTTTTAAGAAACACTAAGTTTTTTCCAGTTACGTGATACATTCCCTGCTTTCAGTTCAGGGGAAGTTTATCTGAGGTAAAACAGAATATTTGTCATGTTCTCAAAAGTATTTGCTAAGAAAATAAACTAAAACATGCTGTATGCCATTGCTTAGGATTAATAGGACTATGAAATACTTTCATATTTTATGTGTAACATTTCACATACTTGATATTCAGTGTGCAATGTTACATACACGTTTTCCACCATACATACATACATTTTCCACCAGCTTTTGCCATGGTATGCCTTGATTTATGTACCTTTAAAAAATCTTTGATGATTGAAACGTGAGCATATTCTGTATTTACAGGTGTATTTTTAATAAAAAGAAAAAAAACCTAGGTGTTTTTTTAAATGTCAAATGCTGCTAACTCCCCTTGAAGTGGATGTAAGAACTTACTCAATGGCTAACATCTGACATGTGTCTTTCTTTGATGAAACAAAGATTTAAAATATGATTTCCTCCCTTCTGTATTTATCTCATTGTTCTTGCTCTCAGCTTACTTCAATTACAGACTTCTATTTCCATTAGTATATCTATCTATGTTTCTGGGAGTAAAATACAAATATTCTAACATGAGTTGCAAGTTGGTTGCAAGACCAGTTTTATTTTGGTCTAATGGACAGTAGCGAGTCTGGATAAATATATGCTTAACTGTTAAAAATATCTATTTTTTTTTACTATAGTGCAAAAGTATAGTATGCTCATAAGAGAAGCCATCTTACTTGGATTAAAATCTATCTGTAATGTGGAAAAATACCAATTATTTGAAATGTTATAGACAAAATTCCATGCCAAGTCTGGTCTTGCAATACTTAGGAGTTCTCTGTAGATATTATACATAAAAGGCTGAACACTGTTGGATATTTTGTAAATTGCATTTTTCTTTTCAGAAAAAGATTAAATTTAATTATTATTTGCAATAATCAATGTGGATAAAACTGCATGAAGGGATGAGAAGAGCATGCAGTGACTTCCTAGGCAGTTTGGTGTCTAATGTACGGTAACCTAATCACAGAAGAATACTGCTTTAGACAGTCTTACTTCCATCAGTAAGAAAAAGCAGCAGCTACTCCTAAGTGTTTGCTTTAATACAGGTAAAGTATTAGAGAAAGTATCAGAGAAAGTAAGCAGTTGTGTTCATCATAGTACATCTTTGAGAACTGATAGTTTCTAATTTTCCCCAGGAGTCACAGCTGAAAGCTCTGAAGGAGACTGTGCAGCTTTGCTTGTCATCTGTTCTGCGCAATCAGCCTCCCACAATGAATCTAATCTCTTCAAAACCACCTGAGAAGCTGAATTCCTCAAATACAAAGAGCTCCAAAGTTCCATTTCAAGTGACAAGTACCAAGGTATGATTTCTGTCTTGGGTGGGGATTTTTTAACATCTTCAAAAGGTTGTCCAAAAGGGCTTCATACTGAAACTAAGGAGGAATTCAAAATCAGTGGAAGATTAGGACAAATTTTGAGGATAATTCTAAGACTGTTTCTGATGTCAATAAATTGTTTTCTCAGTTGGGAAGCAGCTACATTTTACTGAGTAACAAAATTCTATCACTTGGCAAATGGATTATGTCTGCACAACAAATCTACATTGAAGATAGATTTGCATTTAAAATAAATGGGGGTGTTAATTCATAGGATCATTTACCTGTTAGGCACTGATAATGAGCTTGTGGTAATACAGCCCTAAACAGTAATTTGGGGTTTGCTTATCATGGTTTCTTTCAATGGAAAAAAAAAATTATATAAAAACTATAAAATAATCCGGGACACCCAAATCAAAATTGCCAAAATGGATCAATGAACTCGAAAATAGGCCATAGGGAATATTCCAGTCTTGCAAGATGAGAAGGGCAGTTTCAGAGAAAGCAGGAGGAAAAAAGAGATGAAACGTGTTTTGAGTCAATAGATTCAAACATTAAAATACAGTCAAGATTTCCAATGATTAACAACTGTCCTAGTAATTTTCATCTCCAGTGTTGCATTTTGCTCCTGAATTCAACTGATACAATAGATAGATCTAAAGAAATCCATAATTTCGGTGAAAGGACGGAAAGGACACTTCAATGTCCTCCTTTCATTCCAAAACCGAAATAATAAATAATTTGTATATGGCAGTTGTTTGTATTCACTCTTAGTGCACAGGCTGAAGCCAAAAATTAGTAATCTTTCTATATGTAATTGAAATTAAAATACAATTGTGGAAAGCAGAAGATAATTATAAAACTGGATATCTCATCACTACTATTAAAATTATGACTGTTGATTCTTTAATAACTGTTTTACAGAAAGAAGCAATCATTCCCAAAAATGATTACCTCTGGAAAAAAAGCAGTGTGTTAATTAGTAGCAGCACATGGGTATGATAGTGTTTATGTAGATTAAGCTCACTGGATCTGTGTTGTATAAGACAGCAGACTTTTCTTTCGTAGGTCATGCAAACTCAAAAGCACTTTGGGATCTCAGGAGCATATTGTTCCTAATTAATGTGGCTGTAAAATTGTTTATCTTGCTCTTATTGTCCTTGTCTTCAGTTTGGAAGTGTTCATGCCTCTGTTATGAGAGCAGAGAAGTACTGAAGGATAAGGGCCAGCTAGACATTATGTCTATGTTTAAAACTGATCTAGGGTCAGAGCCTTTGGAGAATTTGAGGTCTCCTTCATGTTATAGATGGGGAACATGAGAATACAGAATAGAGATTAGAATTAGGTTTTTGATATTTGACTGAAATAGAGAGTACTCTTCCTTCTTTTTTTTTTAAATGACCATAATAGATTTTGTGTTTAGTGTAATTGGTAAAATATGTCAGTACTTCTGTGCTATAGCCTTTTGAGAAACCAGCCTTTAGTCCTCTAACCAGAAGTGCTTGAATAAGTTAAAATTACTCTTAATGGGCAGTTCTCATATTTGTCTGCACTTGGCATATGCCATGAAAATGTCTGAAAGAAAAATGGTCTGTAAACCTCTTCTTCCACACATTGACACCTCATTATTAAAAATCTGTGTATTATCTGTGATTATAAAACTAATGAAATCTGCTACTGTGAATCAAGCTGTTAAAGAATCATAGTCAGTCACCCTGCGCACTCAAGATAGATGTTTTTCTATTATGATACCCTTTCTTATAGATCTTCTCCTTGGCTTTTTTTACTCTGTGACAAACATCAATTAACTCTTAAATACAGATCTGTAGCTCTCTTTTTCATTATTATCAGATTTGCAGAAATATTTTGATATTGCAGGCTAGTTTTTGGGGGGAATATAAATGTATGTGATTATTTAAATGTATTTTACATAGAAGTGGGAACTTAAGATGAGCAGCACTTACAATACTGTCCTGTCTCATAAGCAGCACTTTCACCTTCGGGCAACAAATGATAATTTGTCCAGTAAATATTTTAAGATATTCTCATCCAGCCTAAAAATCTCTTTCTAAAATGTCAAACTTACTTTAAATCTATGGAAGGATAAATCATTCAGTGTGCAATAGCTGTACCACTTGGGGACAATTTCCTGGGGCGGGCGGTACACTTCCTTATTAAAAAAAAGAAATTCCAAATTAGTAGGTTGTATATTTGAATTCATTATTGGTAACCATAATACCTGACAGCTTGTTAGAGGTATTTATCACAAGAACCGGGTGTAGAAAGAATAACTAGATAAGCAAGTTGCCACATTTCTTGAAAAGAAAATACTTCGTCATTTTGGTTTTTTTAAGAGAATGTGATATGAAAAAGAATAAATTAGGTTTAAAAAATGTGTGCAAAGCAGTGCATTATTAAGTGCCCGAATCAGTGCAAAATAAAGTTGTTGTCCTGGATAGTTCATTAATCTGGAAAATTGTGTAGTAATGAAATTATTACATTTAAATGATAGAAAAAGTGATCTTAAAGTGATCAAAAGCAGTGTAAGTCTGATGTATTTTTTTTACATGTCTTAAATAAATATTTGCAATGTACAAGAATGTAAAATACAGAATTTACCATTGTAAATTTGCACTAATATTTCAATTCAAAGCCATTTTGCCTGTCATGGACTTGTCATAACAGGTACTGTTATGTGTACCTGGTACAATGTGTACTGGTGCCTAAAGCTGACATTGGTAAATGGATTTAGGGTGCTGTGCATACAAGTATCAGTGGCACAGCTAAAATAAAGCATAAGTAGAAGGCAGATAATTAAACCTGAACCATGAGGTTTTTAGCTTTCTGTATTATTGACAATTACTTTTATTATATAGTTTTGATACTTTGAGAAGGGTGACCTAGAATAGAGGCTAGAGAGAGTTAGGAATAAAGTAGGTATTTCTTGAAAGGCCTTAAAAGATATATCTTGAGTAGTACAAGAGCCTGGCCAGAGCTACACCCAAGATAAACCTAAAAATGGTCACAAAAATGGATGACTAGTCATGAGGTCTCTACATTTTTGTAAGTTTTGGTCCATCTGCATAACAGGTTTGTCCAATTACAGCTTCAGGTTATGAAGTTCCATCCTTCTTGTTTTCTCTCTTCAATCCACCACTGTTTATGCTTTTGGGCCTGAAACTTTTAACACTTGTCCCTGATATCAAGCTAGAAAATTGTTTTGTCTACCTACTCTGTGAAGAGAGCTCACTAACACTTAATATGAAGCTCAAAACTACACACCTAGGCAGCAGAGAATATGAAAAATAGGAAAGCTTAAACTTAAGGTATCAGTTTCTTTTTCACTGTAATGTCAATAATTATTCTATCTTCTGCCAGTGGAAAACACTTCCAAAATCCTTGACAGATGGATCTATCTTTTGTTGTAGCACCTTTCTTGCCTCATTCCCATTACAGAGGTGGTGATGAAAGAGAATAATGAAGACTGAAGAAGACTGAAACTCTGCTTTCCCTTTTATTCTCTAGACGAATGCCCGAAGACCTGGATACTTAAAGAGCCTACTATGTGCATGAAAATCATGATATTGACTGTGCTGCTAGTCATGGGAAGTGTAGGTTGGTGTAATCAGAGAATCAAAGCACTGGTAATGAAGACCTAGTGATGAATTTTCTGCACTTAGTCATGGCAAGACAAAAAATTTCTGTGAATTTATATGGAGCTAGCGGAGAGATTGTATTCTTACTCCATTTCTATTAATTCCTCTTCCTGAAAAAAGTTTATAAGGTTATTACACCATACAAAAAGCGAAAAATTGTAGTAATACCTTTGGCTGTGCTGCATAAAGATAACCTGTGCTCCAATACAACAAAATGAGCTGTGAGACATTAACAGCAAACCAAACTCAGAAGTGAAACAGAAGAAAATTCTATTTCACGTACCAAGGTTGAACACAAAAATCATGAGGAACACAGTGATTGATTGTGCCATGTATTCCTCAAATTAATTCCTTCTTTACAAGCACCCTGCAGGTTTTGTGTATTTTGTGAACTGCACTATTCTAAGAGTGGAAATACACTTGAATTTCAAACTAAACAATAGTACCCATATGTACATTCAATATTGTACATAGCATAGGTTGAAAGACAACCTATGAATGCCACATGACTGTGTGCATACTAAATGCAAAAAGCAAGCAGGGAACAGAACCTGTGTGAAACAAAGTCATACAGGCTTCTCACCTTCTGACCTGGGAAAGCATAAGAAGGAATCCAAACAGTCCTTGGTAAAAGACAACAATTTGCAGGTGTTGTTTAGTCAAGGGGTGATGTTCCACTTAACCAATAATGGTGATGTGTACCTTTAATGACCAATGAAAGTTTCACTTCTTGGACCTTCTTGAACATGTGTATAAAAGCAGATTAAGAATAATAAACTTTGTTCTCTTGGACAATGAAGCTAAGGGAGTCAGTGTTGTACTGCTTCACCGTTCCTAATATAGTGCGACATGAGTGTCCTTGTCTCTATGGAGAAAACACAGGCTGAATGGAGTAAGAACTATCCTTCTGTAGAAATGCATAGTACAGACTAAAAGGCCAACTACTACTCCATTGTGAAAAGATTTAAAGATCTTGCAAGAAATTTCATCACTTTTGTGACTCAAAACTTCAGCAAGGAGTAATTTCTTTTGCCTCAGATATATATTGTGAATATTCAGGACTCCAGCATATATTACTGAGTGCAAAAATTCAGAAAAGTTCAAGTACTGTGTGCCATACTCCCTTTCTTTGGAAATAATTCTCTCATTCCTCATCAAAGTAAGCTTGGGGAACTTTATATTTTTGTATAGACTAAAAAGAGTTCTTGTGGGAGCAAGGAGAAGAGCTTGTGAGACTTTTCAGAGAAGGTACAAGTCTGGAAAGATTGTCAAGACCAGGGTAGACTCTGAAGAGCATTTTGAAATGGCCATGTAGGAAATTAGAAGGCT